TAAATGCAAAAGAGTGACAGGAGCACATTTCTGAGCATTTAAAAATCTGTAAAAGACAGCTGCATGCGATGCAAAAGATAAACTGTGACCTATTTAAACTGACGATATATGACGTCATAGATTTGTCGGAACGACTGGTATTTCTGTTGAAACAATGCTCCTATAGGTAGGTTTTTCTCCTGAGACGTGGTTATAGCTGAGTTTACTAACATTTTTAAACTTCTCCCATCAGTTAACCCACAACGTGTGTTGTTACTGTGTGTTTGATGTGCACCAGCTCACTGTGAAAACAATTCCTCTTATTTATAATTCCTCACTGAAATGTTTTCCCGTGTCTTTGTTAGCTTCCTAGGCCCATTTGGATGGATGCATGTTGCAGAAACGGTCGGTAAACTTTATTGGAGACGGGTAAACAAACTGGACTCCCATACCATTCAGCAAAACCAGCCACGTGGTCGCGACAGTCTCTTGTAAACGTAGACCAGGATGATTGACAACACTTCTAATAGAGTACAACAAACCAGCCAATAGTAAAATTAAACTGCAGTACTAGTGTTCCAGTCTCTCGCACAATTTTAACACAAAAAGCAGAACTCATTTACTTTGCGTTAGCATTTCAAGGTCTCGATTAAAACTGGTTTTGGGGTTTAGTTACTCTGAAAACGGAAACCTTTGTGAGTAGCTGACTACAGAACTGTTGAGGGCTTGATTAAGTGATTGATTGATTGATTGATTGATTGATTGATTATCACTGGCTCTCACTGTCCAGAGAAACTTTAGTAACATTTCCACATTTTGTTCCACATTAACGTTTCTCTGTCTGAGCCTCGTCACATTAACACAACATAAACAGGCGTGTGAAACAGAGCATCAGCTCACCCTCCTCTTCCTCACACGCTTTGATCTTGACATTTCTTCCCAGTCGCACACGCGGTGACTCAGCTTTTACTGTGAAACTTTTCAGTCTCGAGTTAATAACGAAAATGACAAATTAATTATGAATCAAATTGTGACACTGAATTTGTCTGGAAAAACTGCTTGTGTTGTAAAAGTACGAGACCGATTTATTTATCAACTGAAAGAAGATCAGCCAGGAAACTCGTTGCCTCCTATAGTTTCGGTTAAACACGGTCGATCAGACGAAATGAGACATGAAGACGTCACGTTGGTCCTTTGTCCTAACATTTTATGAAGCAGTCAAAAACAACCAGCTGATTACATTAAACTGTTTTCTGGGCTCCATCATTATTCACTTTTCACCTGAGACACGAACGCGGTTTCACTTCCTGGTATCACTTCTGCCAAAAACCAGGACATTGTAATTTAGTTAGGCCCTGATCGGTCCGATTGTCCATGATCAATAATCAAAACCACCTGTTAACACACCGCAAACACAACAGAAGAACTGAGTGCGTCTTTTTTTTTTATTGGTTGGGGGTCTAATCCTACCGTCGCTGGACTCGGTGGTCTGCAGTTCCCCGGCGGCCATCATCGGGACTACGTGCGGCCCCCCCTCGCCGTCCTCCACCTCTGTGCGGGTCTGGACCGACACCTTGACGTAAACATTGGCCCATTTGCTGGGCAGCAGGAGGCATCCGCCCTTGGGACAGCCGTGCACCAGCTTGCACTCCGGTGCTCCGTCCTCCGGGAAACTCATCCAGGCCAGGTCACAGTCCGCCCTGTCGCAGCACGACGCCCAGCATTTCATCGGGTCCGACACGCCCGGAAGGTCGACCGCATTGCTGACCAAAAAGATGGGGGACACGGTCTGATTCACATCGACGGACCGGTCCAATTCACAGGCCAGGGCCAGACCGGAGCAGACCAGGAAACAAAACGCGAGACCCAAGCAGAACCCGTGTTTGTTCATCTTTGCTCTGTGATCTGGATCAGGTTCTGGGTTTGATTCAGTTTAAACACTAAAACTGGTCGAGTTTCTTTGTCTTCTCCCACGTCTGAAGTCCTCTCAGCTCTGCTGAACAATGACCCACTACCGTGTTTCTTAGGCTTTTGGTGTCGCAGACAAATTTACCTGAGCGGCAGGTGAGGTCACTGCGACCACGCCCACCAAATATGTCACTGCCGCCTCATTAAAGTTCAACACATAACAAACAGGAGGCTGTTGATTATTTTTCTCAGAGAAAGACTCAAAAATCGAATATTTTATTCAGTGGAAAGTCAAAGAATTTCATTCAGCCTGTTTGTTTACGTCACATTGTTTCTCTTCTCAGAGTCAGAATCAGCTTTTTGGCCAGGTGTGTTGAACACCCAGGAATTTGTGGCTCTCAGTGTTTATGTTTAATGTTCTTCCTTAAGGCAACAAGTCAACGAGATAAGACAGAGAACAAGAAAAGAAAAAGAATGTACAAACAAGAAAAAGGAACGCTTTAGGAAAAGAGTACTTATACATACAAATATATACACACAGATTAGCTGCAGTTTTCCAGATAGATCTATACAAAAGTATATTTACAAGATATTACACTGAGGGTTGTCATTCTGTCATACAGTCATAGGATAAAGTGTTGATCTGAGCCACGTTCTGTGGGAGGAAACTGTCCTTGTGACTGTTGTTGTGGGTACAGTGACCTCTAACCTATCACCGAAACCTTGGTGAATAATAATCTTACATGATGTACTCTGCTTCAGGAATTATTCAAATTTATTCAAGCAAGATACTTTAACATTTTTTTATTTCTTGATGTTACATTTTTCAATATAAAAATATAACTAAATAGGTATAAACTGGCAAGAGACTTTTAAAACTAATGTAATGTGTAATTGTAATTGCACATTTTTATACTGTGGGTGTCAAATGTCTTTATTTATGTGCTAGTATTATTATTACTATATATGTGTTCATATTAGCTTTATATTGTAACGTAGGGCTGGTCCCGCCAAGCCTGTGTGAGTCAGGTGCTGCTGAAGCTGCTGCCCCAGACTCACAAGTGAAGGAGCTGCAGGGAAACTGGATCTGTGTTTCACTTGCTAATCAATAACAAGAAATAAATAAATCCTGACGCCATGTCAGTCATGGAAACACGTGTGTGTTTCTGTCACATGTGATCATTACTGCTGTGCATCACTGCTGCTCCATCAAATCAATTTTATTTGTATAGCGCCAAATCACAACAAAAGTCATCTCAGAACACTTTACAGAGTAAGGTCTAGACCTTACTCTGTAAAGTGTTATCACTATTATTACAGCTATTGGACCACAATGGCCAAAAAGCCCTTCTAACGTGTAATTTGAAAGAATCATGTACAGACCTGTTCGCTTCAGGCTTTCTTTAGAGGAGGAAGAATTGTAAAACTACAACGACCCTGTAGAGGACCACGTTTCTTTAACAGCTCCTTTAATTCCACCAGCTTTACTCACTTCCTCACACTACTGAAGCAGTCACACATCTGGCATCTGCCTCTGCATTGAACAAGCTACAGTATGATTTGGGAGTTTTTGAGTTCAGAACTTTGTAAATATTTTAAATATTTAAACTTTGACTGTGGAACTTAGACAACTTGACTGAGACCTGGACTCTGGAACAGCAGACCAGAAAGCAGTGTGAAGCTTAGTGGATATCATTGATTTTTGGGTGTAAATACTTGTAACACAAGAAGGTTGGCAGACTTTCCTGAGGAGTTTGCTGATGGCACTTCATATTTTGTAACTCAAATAAAACAGACTCTAGAAAGCATGGACTGTTCACTTCTCTGCCCTTTATGCATAATTGCACATTGACTGCTGCACATCCTGCTCCCATGCAGCATACATTCTCTTATTATATTCTTATATATTTTTATTATATTGCTGCATCTGCTGCTTAAAGTGCCTTAGATTTTGTGTTACTTATTTATCTACTTTATATTTCATTTGTATTTTGTGGCATTCATGTGGACGGCAAAGTAAGAATTTCATTGTACAGGGAAACACGTTTCCTAACTGTGTATATGACAAATAAACACTTTGACCTTTGGGACTCTGTGGATTTGGGGTCAGACTGCGGACCGCAGTTCTGGTTTCTGTCCACAGTCCTCTGTCACATTAATCTCCGTGTTTGTGCTTGTGCTGGTAGAGGACCCGAGGTTGAGGAACACAAACACCGCCCCATAGGAGTGAGAAGGGAATTTTATAGCCTACTATTCACACACCATGACTCACACACACACCATTTATATACATAACACTATAATGTATGATATTACTAGTACATATACAGTAATAATTAACAATAGAAAAAGAAGCTTTATTTTATTGTAACACGTACAATGAAATTCTGTTGGGAGCCGAGGGCCCTGGGCCGCTGTGTGCATATGCGCCGCCATCACGGGCAACTTGGGGGGGTTCAGTGTTTTGCCCAAGTACACTTCCACATGTGGACTGCAGGCACAGATTCAAACCTTCAAACTTCAGGATGGGAGATGTCTGCTCTACCCACCGCACCACTGTCAAACAACAATATTATATCACCCTAACTATAAGCTTTATCAAAAAGGAAAGTCTTAAGTCTAGTCTTAAAGGTAGAGAGGGTGTCCGCCTCCCGAACTGAGACTGGGAGTTGGTTCCATAGGAGAGGAGCTTGATAGCTAAAGGCTCTGCCTCCCATTCTACTTCTGTGGACTCTAGGAACCACAAGTAAACCTGCACTCTGAGAGCAAAGTGCTCTGTTAGGATGATAAGGCTCTACGAGGTCTTTAAGATACGATGGAGCCTTGTCATTAAGGGCTTTGTATCTTAGGAGAAGGATTTTAAATTCTATTCTGAATTTTACAGGGAGCCAGTGGAGAGAAGCTAATATGGGAGAGATATGATCTCTCTTGCTAGTTCCTGTCAGTACTCTGGCTGCAGCATTTACTGAGAATACTGCAGTAGGACTGAGAATAGGCCAGTGTGGTACTTTTTACTGTAGTAAAATTAATATTTGATGTAGTAGCCCCATTTAACACTGGCTCTTATCCCCGTCCCGACGTAATGACGTCGAGCTGTCCACCCACGTCACACGTCAGACTGAAGCCCGCCGTCGCTCCGTGACCCCCGACAAAAGGAGCGGAGCGACGGACGGTGAAGTTCGTTTCTCCATCATGAGGTGAGTTTATCACAAACCTGCTGAAATATATTCCTCTGGTGTTCCAGTAGAGTTTGGGACAGATCTGATGTATCTGACACTTCGGTTCAGACTCAGTCACTTATTGATCCTCTGGTTTTCACCCAACGTTACTTTCCAGGAACATCGATATTTTTACCTGTGGTTTTTAAATCTTATATCTGAAGTTTTGGGTTGGAGAGAAAGTGAACAGAAACTCTAGTGGTAATAACGGAATTTACTGATGTAGAGAAACGGTTCCTACTTTTAATTGATAAGTTTGATGAGTCTAAAACCACATAGAACACTCGCACATCATTCCGATGAATGACACAGCCTCAACAAAACATACGTACATCTGAAGTTAAATAAAAAAACATTTCTTACACATTCAGTTAAATATGACCTTGATTATATGCAACAGTGTAAATTAAAGATGGGGAATAATTAAAAAACGGAGTTAAATAGTGTACATAAAAATAACACTGCAGTATGTTTATTGTAAATGGTAAATGGTAAATGGACTGTATTTTATATAGCGCTTTCTCACAGTGTGTTGCACTGGCCAAAGCGCTTTACAGAGATGATACACCATTCACCCATTCACACACAACATTCACACACTGATGACGACAAGCTGCCATGCACCGGCGCTAGTCAAGCCACCAGGAGCAATTCGGGGTTCAGTGTCTTGCTCAGGGACACTTAGGCATGCGGGGAGACCGGGAGTCGAACCACCAACTTGCTGGTCAGGAGACGACTGCCCTACCTCATGAGCCACAGCTCATGTAGTAGTATGATCTGTCATATTGCATCATTTAAAATACATTTAGGTGAAACACGGGAGTCTTCAATGTTAAAAACTCATGATTTGTCTTGAACACAGTGGAGTTTTAACATTTTATTCCTTAAAAAGACTTTATGTTGTCACATGTCTTTAAGTGATTTCATCACATGTAAAGCTGGCGCCTCTTTTGTTCACATGTGAGAAAACAGTAGCATCTGAATTCCCTTTAAACCTTGTTGACAGTTCAACAGAATATGGAGTTGCTGGTTACCATGACTCATTTCAGGATTAAACTGCAGGGTTGCCTAATGTTTGACTGGGAACATGGTGTGTCTCAAACATTTGTTATGAATTAAAATATAACGTGTGCCTCAGAGTGAATGAACAGAAAGTGCGACTGTTTCAGGCTCTTCCTGTTCCCGCTCCTCGTCCCAGTTGTGGTCGACTCTCAGCTGCTGTCGCTGTCAGGGATGTACGGCAGCCTGCAGAGCCCAAACTTCCCGGAGCCGTACCCTCAAGACATGGAGCTGCAGTGGAACGTCACCGTTCCTGATGGCTTCCGGATCAAACTCTACTTCAGCCACTTCAACCTGGAGCCGTCCTACCTGTGTGAATACGACTACGTCAAGGTAAGGCACAAGTTTTTGCTCTCATTGCTTTCAGAGGCCAAAGACGGAACAGGCGTGTCTCTGTTGGACTAAATCGGGTTTCCTGTTACACCAATGTGAATTTATCATTTCGCATTTTTGGACTGTGGGCGGAAGTACCCGGAGAGAACCCACACAGAAAGGCCCCAGTCGGCTGAGGTTTGAAACCAGAACCACCTTGGTGTGAGGCCACAGTGCCAACCACTGCACCACCGTCCCGCTCTGCTATTAAACATGGGGGTGTGGATATTCTGCTGTGGGGTATCAGCCACAGGAAATGCTGCACAGATTCAAACACCAGCAGCTTCTAGATCAAACATCCTGCAGTCAGGACAGTGAGATAAGGCCGGTTTCTACAGCAGGCCCAGGGTCCACAGCAAACCTCAGAACCTACCATGAACCAGCTGAAGAACCACAAGCTGGAGCCTCTGCACCCTAACCTGAACCTCTATAGACTCTGTGGCAGATCTTAAACCTGCTGAGAGGACAGAGCCCGTCAGAACTTGAATCTGCAGGAAGAGGCTGAACGTGAGTGAATTTGGACCTACAACGAACCACAGGAGCTTATGCTTTAGAAACACACACATTCATATTCAAATGTTGTCATGGGGCGCTGTGGCAACGCACCACGACAACCTGCTGTCGACAACAAACAGCTGCAACACACAAAAAACACCAGTGGACTTCCCACAATGCACTGCTCTGTGTGTGTGAATTAAACAACAACTCTGATTGACCATAAATTCCCAGTCTGCTGAGGACTCTGAACATAGCACGCCAACAGATCCAGAGCCTACTGTGATTCGGAGGACTGAAATGCTTCTGTGTCCCATTTTCAGAGTGACACGATCAGTGAAGCTCTGGAACATGTGCATGCTTCATCTGCAGGAAACAGTATGGTAACACAATGTGCATCTGCAGCACCACAAGAGCCGCCGAGTGACACGCTGCCAATTAACACTAACCAGAGCCCTTAAGATAGAAGAGGTGCGTCACTGAACCGTCAGAAATGGCAGCAGGTCATGTGACCCATGTAGGTTCATGTAGTTCCAAACAGTGGATCCATTGTTGTATGGAAGGAGCGGCGGCGTCTATCAGCCAGTTACTGCTCTTAAAGACTTGTACAGCCTTGCAAACAGTGTTCTATTGTTGTGGAAAGCTAATTTAGCTAGTTAGCTAGGCACCTAATTATTAAAGTGACACAATATTTGAGAGAGACAGTGGAAAAAGTAGCAGGGCTGTAGGATTACTGTGCAGTGTGAAGGGACTGTAACAGGTTACCCTGTCAAAAATGTCATAAGCAACGTAGGCAAGTTTATTTATGTCGCACATTTTCATACACAGTGGCGACCAAACACAATGCACACAGATGGATAAAACATTGAAAAGCATACAGTAAATAGATAAAACATTAAATATTACTTCAAGGCAGCAATTACATGACAGTACAAGTAGCAATATGCATGAGTAGATACTAGTATAGCTGCAGCAGACTGTAGATTCCCTCCTTCTTTGTACTATTCAGACTTCTCAAGACAAACCTCTGAGTACTTAATGTAACACTATTAATTACCACATCAAAGTAATGTCACATTACTTTTCTAAAAAGTGTCTTAAACAGGGCAGCAACGCTGAAAAGTGCTGAGTTCAGAAGGAAAAACTGTCGAATGTCCAGCTTTGAAGGGCTCTTCTCTGACACCATGACCACCTGCCCTGGCGCTGTCGGCTTACTGCAGCTAGGCTGCTTAGAGCAGCGCCTGATGATTTGACTGGCAGATGAGAGATGGCGCAAAGTCAAACAAAGTTCACAATATAACGTGTGCTGCCAAATGAATGGAGCCCATTTAGATGTGGCGACAGCTCCTCGTTAGCCGTCCTAACAGCAGCTTTGCTGAACTGCGCTGTCTGGTAATATCCTGACAGAAGGTGTTCTGCATGGCGGCAAGATGCAAAGCAACAGATCAAATGTCGTATGCACACATGAGGTTTTTACCAAACGGAACATATTCAGATGTAACCCCTTTGTAATCACCAACATTTTACAGTACTTAGTTACATGGAAACAGCTGTATTAGTGTTGTCTCACAAAAACTGTTCTACATTCAGCTAGTCTCAGGGTCCAGTCTTAATGATTTATATTTGCAGTTTGAGACGTTCCACGTTAAAGCTGGAAAATGACATGACATGGTCCGTTCACACACACATCAGGAGCCTCACTGATATAACCCATCCCCTAGCCCCTTACCAGACCCCTAACTTAAACCGGATTCTAACTGTGAACACTAAAACCAGGTCTGAACCCTCAAACAGCCCTTTAAAGGTGTAAGGTCTGGACAGTATTTCCTCACAACAATGGCATTAAACTGTGTCCACACAACCATAGAAAGACATTTACACACACACACAAACATTCAGCATAACCCTGTTAACAGGCTGCAGAAACAGAAAGACCTCCACACACACACATGCTGTGTCTGTGTTTGTCAGTGTGTGTTACTCTGTGTATGACCTGCCGTCCACCCACAGTCAGTATAAACACTGTGGTCATTGTCAGATAAGCTGGAGCCTGCAGTGAACGTTAAAACACAAGCTGATTGGTTAGAGTGAGGACAGTGCCGCAGCCTCTAACAACTCTAGTGTTGTGTGTTTTACGTTTGACTCAGGATCTTGTGAATCCTCATCTTTCCCCTTTTTGTTTCTTAATGTTTCTTCCTGTGGTAAAAGTTGTGTTGGCTGAAAAAGAGAACAGCAGACCACCCTGAATGAAATGAATGAAAGGGGTAAGTGCACACAGGTGCACAGGAGACCATGCTCTCTATAAACCCTGACCGGTATTTGGTATTTTCTGAGGATCTCATGATCTCTGCAGTCCCTCCACTTAGAGACCAGAGGAGAGGCTGCAGAACCTGCCTGAGGATCCTCCTATTAACATTCAGCGTCACACTGATAGTGTCTGTATGTCCATGGGGACGCTGCACACAGCAGCTGCTCACTCTGCATACTCATCTTTCCAATATGTAATCAATGATAATCACCTTTATTGACAAAGTATGTTTCACACACAAGGAATTTGTCTCTGGTACAGAACCGAGGCAGCCATCTGCGGCGCCACCTCTCTCACACACACACACCGATGGCCATCGGCAGGAACTTGGGGTTTGGTGTCTTCAGTGTCTCGTCCACTTCAACATGTGGACCGGGCGAACAGGATTTACACCGCGACCTTCTGGTTGGGGGACAACCACTCTATGTCCTGAGTCACATCTAAGTGACGACGGTCAAGACAAGCTTTTAATTATACTGACATAGTTTCAATATGTTTATAGATCCTCAATAAAAATTAAAAATCAGGCTGTGTTTAAAGCGACTGCCAACTTGTTTCACTCAAATCTTGGAATGCTGAGTCACACCAAGAGTCAGAGCATTTCAGTATTTACAAGTAATTAAATGTATTATAGTACAAGCTCTGTTTTTTCCTGGGTAATTCTTCATATAAGTTTTCATAT